ATATTCGTTGCCATGCGCAAGTGTCGGGGTTTTCTGTTTGTTTAAGATTTTAAGTGTTACACACAAAGATACCAAGCTTAGCACCTAGACTCGTGCTTACCATCATAAATCTATATAATCCTTCCCCCTCTTCCATAATCATCACATCTGTTTCCAATTCTTACCTCCAAGCAAGATCTCAGCTCCTTTCCAATCAATATTTCCATCCCCTACCCTTTGTCACGGCCTCCTAAGTCTTAAATCATCCCCTCCCCTCCCCCCTCCCTCCTACATCTACTCTTATCCCGTCTTTATGGAGAGAGGGAGGGGTACATTATAGTTATCGCAACTCGTTTCCCAATCTGACCGAGTTGGGTTTTCACAGCTACCTCTCGTCAAGGCAAGCAAAAAACACTGCAAACACCAGCTATAAGTGTAACTATAACATACACAAAGTCAGAAATAATCGTGATATTTGTATTTAAACACTACTGTTAAAGAAAAGCAAAGATTAGACAAACAAATTTATTGAGTGAAACGCTGCTTTACTTAAAAAAAAAATGAAACGACTGCGGATGATAGCACACTCATCATAGCAATCACTTGTATCATGATTTGTAATCATAATCCATACTTTTATAATTATGAACGCAAAAACAAACAATTTATTCTACTACAAACACTTGAGAACAGCAAACAGTTAGCTGCCTAGAAACATTTGGAACTGTTTTTATTTGTCATTTAAATCAAAAAACCAAAGACGTTGAAATCAGCACACATACACGCACACACACACACGCACACACACACACGCACACACACACACACACACACACACACACAAAGACGCCAAATCCTCGCCAGATGTTTTTTATCATTTAACAGGTAACCTTTCAGAAGACGAAACGAACGTAAGGATCGCCAGCAGACTGATCACCAGGCAATACAGCATGGTCAAAACAATTGGAAAAATCACCAGCTGCATAGATGAAGGTACCAATGAAACTAACGAGTGTGGGCATAATGGGAACCACAGAAGATAATAAAAGTACACGGAGAGGTGAAGCTTAAGAAAGAAAGGAAAGCCTAGCATAGCTCTGCCCAGAATGAGGCTACTTCTCAGTGATAATGGAGCTTCTCAACGAGAGAACGGAAGATTTGCGCGGAAAAGAAAAATACAAACTCAAGAACTAACAGAAACAAAAACTGTTTTGTACTCATTACAACAAACAAAAGGAAGAATCATAAATTATCTGATGGAAAATGCAAATTCAAGAAAACAGATGCCTGAGGACAACGAAAAACAAGCACAACACCTCCCCACTCCCGTCCCCCCTTTTTCCCTCCCTCTTACTCCTAATTCCTAGTAATTTCTTCGGTTTGTCATGTTTTCTTCATATGTAATGAGAAAAGCGACAGAAACAGAGCGAAGGATGCCAGAAGTACTTCTACGTGAAGTTACTGCGAGAAGGATATCACTGCGACCATGCGAGAAAGTAAAATCCGATGGGCAGCACATGTTGCTCACGTTGACAACTGAAGGAAGTCACGTATTAGTAAAAGTCAATAGAGAGGCAAATTACGAAATGCATGTTGTGTGTGCGAGCAGTGCACTAACAATGATCAACACACCAAGTGTGGTGCATTTTTGGTAATCATGGAACACAATAAGAAATAAAATGATTGACGATTACCAATAATATTAATACTAACGATAAGTAAAAATAAAAATTATGATAAAAATACAGCAGTAATAATGAATAATGATAAAAACGCCTTTAAGGTAATAAAGAGGAGATGAAAATTCAATAAAAACTACAGTGCAATACAAACATAAATTATAAAAAAAAAATTTATGTCCAGCACACTGATAGGCATAAAATAGCGAGGGTCCAGGAATTCTCGGAAGAAGCCGAATTTCACTGCAAAAGCTATTTCTCAACTCAGCAGCTATTTTATGAACGGAATAATGTAGTGCGCAATGAAAACAAAGACAATGAAAGAAATGCATTGATAAAAATAATTTTTTCTGAGAGAAAGACAAAATGATACTCTCTCACTAACTTTAGTAAAAATTATAATTAGAAGTGCGTGTAAAAGTCTACCAATCAAATTAACGCTACATAATTTCCTCCCCTCCCCCATATGTCGGCCCTCGCAGTTCTTTTCTTAGCTACTCGTTTAATTACATTGGCTCAAATCTCATCTTTGATAGCAGTTAAGCAGTATTATCTTTTTGATGATTTTAACAGAATTATCTTTCAGGTGAGTTTGGCCCACCCCTAAAAACATTTGCAAGGGAAAAAAAAAATTCGAGGAATTTTCCATTCTCGATTTTCAGCTCATTTGATAACTTGATCAACTGTGGTTTCATCATACGATATTCACAGTGCAAACACAAAAACGATGAAGGGGAAATGCATCTACAAAATTTACGTTCTCAGCAAAGAAGAACGATTTTTTGCTGCTCGTTTCCCAAATATAGTTAACAGAAGCAAAAGTCATCCACTTCGCCTATCATTTTACTTTGCTACCACAGTTTAGTTTTCTGTTACTTCTCAAGTAAACAAACAAATTTCCTGGTCCTCTTCACATACCTCCAAACCAGACACGTCCTTAGCAAACGCAGAACAGAGTCAAGAAATTCTGAGGAGATTCTAAGAAGTTTTTTCCGCCTCTTTCTCTCAATTTCTGGAACACAGTGCTGGGCAAAACACAGTGACAAAACAGTGCAAAATTGGTCAAAACAAGATAAACGAAAGGAGAAACTTAAGCCAGCAGCAAGTGATAAACGATTAATCGTATTCGCTGACTATTTTTAAATAGAATAATTAGAAGTGACGTTTTCTTATCAACTCCAAATCACTTGCGCTGGCGAT